CCCCAAAACCCCAAAACCCCAAAACCCCAAAACCCCACGGAGTGATCCATGGATTGAAATGATTATATATTGGTTGCGATATTTTAATAATTATTAAATATGGAAAGCAATCAAAATATCGCATCTAAATATCTATCTTCTGGTGCTGTTGGAGGTGCTGAAGAGTCAAAAGAATCTCTCCAAGAGGACCCATTTGATCTAAAACCACTGGAGAGTGAAGACCAGACAAAGCCTACCGTGAGGAGCTTCAAAATTATGACAAGTATTGTCTCAAAGGCGCTGGAGAACTTCTTGAAATACATCCAAGATTGCCAAAGATGCGAAGAAGATGCCGAGATATTGCATCAAGACTGGGTCGACCAACTAGCTCAACTTAAACTTAGGGCCAGCAACATTGAAGAAGGGAGACTCTATGAACTTGAAGATCTTGACAAAAAAATCAATCTGCTGAAGAAGGCTATGAGCAAGCAAGATATCTTTGCTAAGTTTAAGAATGAATCTTATTGGAGACTTCTGGAGGAGGAGGTAGTGGCAAACATTTAATCTTGAAGATAAAGGTTCTTCACTGCAACAACCCGCCCAGCCCAAACCCGCTTTGAACAGACTCCACTTCTCTTCGGCAGGCTTCGACTACTACTATTGGCTTCAACAGGGCTGACAGAGGCCTTTTAGCCCAGTTGCTGTTCTCAGACTAAGGATGAACAGACCAGGAGATATGAATGTGATCAAGGGGCTTGACAAAAGACTTCCTGATTTAGAAAAATTGGAGATTAGGAATATTCCTAGAGAGAGTCAAGAGGAGGCAAGGCACTGTGTTGCCAAATATTTCCCCAAAACAGTAAGGAAATTTGGCTTTAATGTTAATTCTGCTCTGGGGAGCATTGACCTGTACTACTCTGCATTGCTGGCTGCTGGTCCTTGTGTGACAAGGGAGGTTCTTCTTTATAATTTTAAGATCTCCCAGCCCCAGACCATCGCTCTTCTCGCTGCCTTTAACAAGGCCACAGATTTTGTCTTCATTTTCTGCATTCTGCACATCCCCTCTGTGGCTTCCTTCCCTGACTCCATGGCCAACTCCAACATTCAGACATTAAATTTCTTCCACTCAGGAGATAGCGGCCATGGAGACTGGGGGAAGGACAGCTCGTGCTTCAGCAACTTGATGGCTGGGCTTGCACAGGTTGACACTGTCAGGGAAAACTTGGAGAAGATATGGGTGTCTGGCTGTGGAATGAAGGAGGAAGAAATAAAGGAGATCTTGGAGAACTGTGGATACGATAATGTGGGCATTTCAGGAGCTTGGTAAATTCTTAAATTTCAATAGCTGTCACAGATGCTGGGGTTTTGGGGTTTTGGGGTTTTGGGG